AGACTCCCCACTGAGCAGGGAGCCTGATATGGGGCTCAATCCCAAGATCCTGGGATCATGATCCAAGCCAGAGGCAGATGCTTTACCAACTGAGCCACCCAGGTGTGTCAAGTTATTATTTCTTCAAATAAATTCTCTGTTCCCTTTCTCTCTCTTCTTCTTCTGGGACTCCTGTGACACAAATGTCATTACATATGATGGAGTCACTGAGTTCCCTAAATTTAGTCCCATTTTGCATAATTCTTTTTTCTCTCTTTTGTTCAGCTTGGTTACTTCCCTTTACTCTGTCTTCTAGGTCACTAATTTGTTCCTTTATTTCTTCCATTCTGCTCTTCATTCCATCAAATGTGTTTCTCATTTCATTTATTGAGGTCTTTATCTCTGCTATGTTATTCCTTATCTCTGCCTTAAGGGTCTCACTCATGTCTTCCATTCTTTGCTTAAGTCCAGTGAGTATCCTTAGGATCAATGCTTTAAATTCTCTATTAGGCATGTTACTTATATCTGTTTTGCTAGATCTCTGGCTGTGGCTTTGTCCTCTCCTTTCATTTGGGATAAATTTCTCTGTCTCCTCATTTTGTCTGCCTCTCTGTGTCCGTTTCTGTGTGTTAAGGAAGTCAGCTATGTCTTATACTCTTGAAAGTAGTGACTTTATGAAGAAGAGGTCTTGGAGTACCCTACAGTGCAGTGTCGCCTGTTCACCAGAACCTGGCACTCCAGGAGAGTATCCTGTGTGTTGCTATGTGTGTAGCCTGCTGTTGTGTCTGAGTTTCTTTTCTTTCAGTGTAGTTGTCTGCACTGACTCTCTGCCTGTTGTGGGCTGTGTTTGCTCTCTGTGGTGTTAGTGGGACCCAGGCAGGGTAGGCGTGCCTGCTGGGGAACTTGAGAGCAGGAGGTGGTATTAGCAAAATTGGCGCTGGGTCACTAGTCCTCTGCTGGATGCCCCGAAGTGCTGCAGTAGCTGGGGGCTGCAAGCTGGGGCTGCTTGAGGCACGAGGCTGGGTGCAGTGTGTGGAGGGAGGCAGCTGTGCACCTGGTGGCTGGGAGCAGTGCACTGCAGTGGCTGGGTGCTGCGCCTTTTTGTTGTATTTTATTTGTTGTTTCAGTTTCCTATTGCTAGTATGACAAATTACGGCAAATTTAGGGGCTTAAAACAATGTGAATTTATTATACTTCTAGAGGTCAGAAATCTGAAACAGTTCCACTGTGTTAAAATTACTGTGGCAGCAGACCTGTCTTCATTCTGGAGGCTGGGAAAGAGAATCCATTTCTTTGTCCTTTCCAGTTTCTAGATCCCATCTACATTCCTTGTCTTGTGGCCCCATTCTCCATTTTTGAAGCTCCTTGGCTTAACTGCTACTTTTGTCCTTAAATCGGCTCTCCAACCCCGATCTTTTTGTTTCTCTCTTATAAGGACTGTGGTCACTACAGTAGGCTCATCTAGATAATGCTGGATAATCTCCCTGTCTTAATCACATTGCGAAGTCGCGAAGTCCTTCTGCCATGTAAGGTAACATGGTCACAGATGGATGTGGACATTTGGTGGGGGGGGGGGGCACATTTTCAGCCTACCATACTTGTTCTTTCAGATACATCAAAAACCACTAGTTTTTCTATGTTCTTGTATTTGGGTATGCTTTGCCGAAGTCCCGTTGTTTGTATTTGTTTTAATATTGCTTTCAAACTATTTCATATTTGTTTTTCAGTGGATTCTGTTAGAGTTACTGGCAGTGGTAACATTTGTTCCCTTTCTTCCTGGATTTATAGCTCATTTTGTTCTCACCTCTTTCCATGTTGTCTAGAATCTTCTAGCTAATGCTAAATAATAGCTATGAGAACATGCATCCTTGTATTGTTCTCAACTTTACTAGAAATTGCCTCGTTGTTTTACTACCCAGGGTGGTGGTTTCTGATAAACACTCTTTTAAGTTAAGACATTTCTATCAAATTAAATCCTAGTTGACTAAGATTTTTAGTCAGGAATGTATATTAAATGTATTAACCATTATGGTTATAAGAGTAACCATATGGCTTTTCCCTTTTAATCTATTAATAGCTTTTCCAATAATGATCATCTCTGTATTCCTGGAAGAAATCTTCTTTTGTCACAGTGTATTGTTCTTTGAATGTACTGCTGACTTCTATTCGCTAATATTTTATTTTTGCATTTATATTAATGAGTGAGTTTGGCACAGTGTGTTTAGTAATTGCGCTATCCTTGCACAGTTTTGGCGTTGTTGTGGGTTATCTAGTCATCTTGAATAAACTGGGAAACTTTCCACCTTTTTATATGGTCTGGAACTGTTTATTTAATTATTAACTAATTAATTAATTTTCCACCATCCCTCCCCTGGAACTGTTTAAATAGTATTGAGGTTTTTTGTTTTTGTTTTTTTAAAGATTTTATTTATTTGAGGGGGCGTGTGTGAGAGAGAGAGCATGGGCAGGGGGTGGGGCAGAGAGAGAGGGAAAAGCAAACTCCCCGCTGAGCAGGGATCTTGACATGGGACTCGATCCCAGGACCCCAGGATCATGACCTGAGGTGAAGGCAAATGCTTAACTGACTGAGCCACTCAGGCACCCCGAGGTTATTGGTTTTGAAAGTTTTATAAACATAAGATTCCTTGGACCACTGCTACTTATCTCAAAAACCTTCTGTACCCAATGGTGAGATTGCATTATTCTGAATCACATGTACTTTCTTATCTACTCTGTCTTACAGCATTTGAAGTACAGCTTGTGACCTGTGGAACAGGTTTCCTCTGGGCAAAGCTGCCCAATCCATAAAGAACGGTCACATCTACCAACATGGCTTCATTCATAGAAACCTGTCAGGCCAAGGGCTTACACAATAAAGGATTGGCTCCCATGAGACTTCTTTTTTCATGTGCTTTGGGAGTTGTCTTTATCATTTATTAATTATTGCAGTGTTGCTATGAAGCTTTTTTTAAAAGATTTATTTAGTTATTTTAGAGAGAGAGAGAACTTGAGTAGGGGGAGGGGCAGAGGGAGAGAATCTCCAGCAGACTCCCCGCTGAGTGGGGAGCCTGATGCAGGGCTCGATCTCAGGACCCTGAGATCATGACCTGAGCTGAAACCAAGAATCGGATGCTCAACTGACTGAGCCCAGGTACCCCTGCTGTGAAACTTCTTAGCAAATCTTTTTCAGTTCTTCAAAGAGCACTTTTCAGTTCTCTGCTGAAGTGTTGCTCCCAGCTCAGAATTTGAAATTGATACTTATTTATATAAATGAGGTTGTCCAAGGCTGAGTTGCAGTTTTAGGTTAGTAAACCAGAGGAGTTTGCAGTGACTGGATTTAAGTAATTTTTAAGAGGGGTCCTCTGATTAGGTACATTTTGATTTTAAATCTTTTATCAGGACTGCGTTTACATAAATGTAAAAGTGCTGCTACCACTAATTTCTAAATCAAAATACTCCTGAAATGGGATGCCTGGGTGGCTCAGTCGTTAAGCATCTGCCTTCAGCTCAGGTCATGATCCCAAGGTCCTGGGATCGAGCCCTGCATTGGGCTCCCTGCTCCTTGGGAAGCCTGTTTCTCCCTCTCCCACTCCCCCTGCTTGTGTTCCTTCTCTCACTGTGTCTCTCTCTTTCAAATAAATAAATAAAATCTTTAAAAATAAAATACTGCTGAAATCATTCCATGTATATGATTTAATTAAAAGGTAGTATTTTTGGGGGGTGCCTGGGTGGTATAGTTGGTTAAGCATTCGACTCTTGGTTTTGGCTCAGGTCGTGATCTCTCTCTCTCTGCCCCTCCCCCGACATATGAATGCTCTCTTTCTCTCTCTCTCTCTCAAATAAATAAATCTTTAAAAAAAAAAAAGTTAGTAATTTTTAAAAGATTTTATTTTTTAAGTAATCCCTACACCCAACATGGGACTCTGACTCACAACCCCAAGATCAAGAGTTCCATGCTATATGAAAGGTAGTATGTTTGTATCGAGTGTAAGCTGATTTCTCATTCTTTCCCCCCTGCAGTAAAACAGATCATCGGTAACATTTCAATATTTAATGAAACCTGCTTGAGATGGAGAAGTACAAAGACCGCTGATACAGAGGAGATGTATTCAGTAAGTTACCGAACGTTACTCTATGTATAGATGTTGTCTAGTGTGGGAAATTTAAAAAAATATCAGCAAACCTAAAAATCTACTTATGTAGCTGTTATTATCAATGGCAGATTTATAGTAAGAATTGCAAGAAAAAGCAAGAAAATGGGCACTTCTACTACGTATTTGAAGAGAGAGACTTTGGGGATTGCTGAGTAAGCCATGCGAATTACTTTGTGCACATAGCCTGATGCAGAGCTGATGTCCACACAGTATCCGTGGAAGAAACCCATGGCTTTTGCCTGTGTGTGTCTCTTCAGTCCAGTGTCTCTGACCAGGGTCTGGACGTGTCTAGAGAGTCAGGGGGAACTTTCGAAGCTATTGTGGTTGTGAGTAAGGAAGGTAAAGACCATGGGATGAGCTGCTACTAGAAGAAATTAAGTGGGCAGAGAAGTGTGTCTCTTGGGCCAGGTGCTGGGATGTTACAGGAAAGTGTGGAGAATGTCAGAAGGGGGCAGGCACATCTATGTAGATAATATGCATTTTAACTTTTAAAAAAATATGCATTGCTTTATATGAAGCATTAAATGCTGCTTCATGTATAAATAGCTCCTATTTTGATTCAGTTTGGTTCCACATTAAACTGTCAAAAGTTGCTCTGTGATCCTGAAGACACTGTGGCTTGCCTAGATCCAGGGTCGTCCAGTTAAACCTCAAGTGTTGTAAAATGAATAGCAAGATTGGAAGGTGTATGGCCGTCACATTGCAAATACTGTGTTCACAAAATAAAAAATGCATTGTTAAAAAAAAAAGAAGAAGAAGAGGAAGAACGGGGCAGGCCGAGGAGAAAAGCCCTGCTGAGCTTTAACCAGGCCAGCTAGGAGTATCCTCACTCAGGTCCTACTTTGGGGAAGCCTTAGTTCAGATTCCTCATTTTCTTTGTAGGAAATGTTCTGTGGCCTTGCTCCCACCCACAGACATTTCAGTGTTGTGCGTCGTAGATGTGAGAACAAGAACGAGAACATTGTTAGCACTGGGACTTCGGCCTTTTGTACATTTTGATTTAAAAATATTTTTATTGTACTGATATATTGTAACGATGGTGCTTAGGGTATGACGACTCTAAGATTTGCTTACTGTTCTGTGGTGAAGGAACTTTAGAGTCGAGGGCAAGATGGCTCGTGAGAAAGGGGAAGTATCCAGGCATTTGGAGCCTTCCTCAAGTTAGCCGTTCACTTAGTGAACTTTTCTGTTTCAGTTCCACATTCGGGGCCAGAGATGGTATCAGAAGGAATTTGCCCAGGAGATGATCTTTAATATCACTGCCAGGAGCCAGGCTCCTGAGATGTGCTTGGACCTGCGTCCGGGTACCAACTACAGCATCAGCGTCCACGCTTGGTCTTCTCAGCTTCCCGTGGTCCTCTCCCTGACAACCCAGATTACAGGTAAGTCTTGAATGGCAGCATCTGAAGGAATGAGGTCACCACAGAGCTGTAGGTGGGCCCAGATGAAGAGGAACACCACTGCTTCCTGTCATTCAGTGAACCTGAAGAGCGAGAGGATGCAAGGGTCCTGTGGTTGTGACTGTCATGTTTTCTTTCTTAGAAAGATAGTCAAGACAAAATAGTAACACGAATTAAAGCCATGAGTGCTGGGTACATTCCTTCGGGATATTTGGAATATTTAACATATTTCATACCTAAAAGGCTCTCATTACTGTTTCTCAGGTACGTGTGATTGTCATGTTGTCACAAGTGCCTCAAGAGTCGGTTATTCTCAGGGAAAAGTGATTGACAGTCCCACTTTGGCCCCCTAGCAAATTCATTTTCCAGTCATTTTCTCTTGTCCTCTCAAATCTGGGGTGCTCCCCCTCCTCCTCCCCCTCCCCCACTCTGAGCTAATACTCAGAGTATTAGCTTCTTGTTTCTGACTTCACTGAGCAATTAGAAGTAATCAGATGAGGACTTGCCTCTCCCAAATCTCCCCTTGCTACCCGCATGCAGAACCATGTATTCTGTCTTCTCTCCTGTCTCCACTCCTCAGGCGACCGCCACCCTCAGGTGCGTTGGACCCCATCCTTTCCTGCCTAATCATCATGTCCCCCCAACAGAGAAATAGTGCCAACACTGCATGAGCATGTCGTAGTATCTCCTTTTTTAAAATTAAAATGAGGAGGGGCGCCTGGGTGGCTCAGATGGTTAAGCGTCTGCCTTCCGCTCAGGTCATGATCTCAGGGTCCTGGGATCGAGTCCCGCATCGGGCTCCCTGCTC